GTTGTCAGTGTGACTCTAGAGTCCCTGCCAGAGTGTTCAGAGTAGAGATGAGTGGAATTGGTGGCTGAATCTGGGATCTCTACCTGAAAGGGATGTGGAAGGGCAGGATTTGGTTTTGTTATGAATGTGAAGTTTAAAAGAAACAGGAGTTGGGGTTGATTCAAGTTTTGAATTGTTTAGCATTGAACACTAGAGAGATGGAATGCTAGTAACTGAAATGAGAAAATCTGTAAGTGTGGTATATTTGAGATAAGCTCAGTTCGGATGCATCTTCAATTAGAGGTGCAGATCAAAAAAGTGCCTAAATAAATTGAGTTTAGGAGAGAGGTTTGGAGATAGAAATTGTTATGTAAATATAAATTGAGCTTAAATGTATGTGTTTAAGGAGCTGGGAGACAGCTCAGTCAGTAGAATGCCTGCTGTGCAAGCTTGAGGACCTGAGTTCAGGATCCCAACACCACATAAAAGCCATGTACTACAGCATGCATCTGTAACTGTGAAGACCAAGACAGGTGGATCCTTGGAGCTTGTTGGCCAGCCACCAGTGAGCTCCGAGTTCATTGAGACCCTGTCTCAAAAGGTAAGGTAGAGAGGGAACGAGGAAATCAGCTGACATTGGCCCCTGGCTTCTCTACAATATGTGCACACATGCATACACCCACTGATCACACAAAAAATTATAGAAATTTGAGACTTTTTGTTACATAGATGTCACTTAAAGCCACTAGACTGGATAAGGTCATTAATATATTATGTGTAATAGTGAAAAGTGTCAAGAACAAAACCATATGTGTGAGTGTGTGTGTGTGCATACGTGCATTTATCTTGTCTCTTAGTTTGTTTCACATCACTTAACATTCCTTTTTGGGCAGTATGAAACTTAAGGTTGTTTTTTTTCAAGTCACATGAAACGTAAGTGTTTTTTTCTTTCAAATTTTAAAAGCTTTTCACTAAAAGGCTGTTGTTCCCCCACTCCACCCAACCCCCACTGCTTTTGGAATACAGCTATAGTTAACCCAAGCACTATAAACACTTTGTCTCTTAAAGTATTATTTAGCTTATTGAATTAATAAGTCTTATTTTCTTTATTGTTTTAGGGATGATTTGGTCAGACATTAAAAGACTCTGGTATGAAGGGTTAGAAGACTTTTTAGAAGAATCTCGTAACCAGCTCAGCTTTGTCATGAATTCCCTCTACTTGGCAACCTTTGCCCTCAAAGTGGTGGCTCACAACAAGGTGACTATTCACTGTCAATCAAAGATACAGCATCTATTTAAAAGATTAATATGTTTTGCTATGTAACTTACTATAGACCCAAATATGTGTCTGGTGTGTCTTCATTTTAAAATAATCTGTGTGAATCCAGTTGCTTACTTTTTTTTTTTTTTTTTTCCGAGACAGGGTTTCTCTGTGTAGCCTTGCGCCTTTCCTGGATCTCGCTCTGTAGAACAGGCTGGCCTCGAACTCACAGAGATCCGCCTGGCTCTGCCTCCCGAGTGCTGGGATTAAAGGCGTGCGCCACCACCGCCCGGCCAGTTGCTTACTTTTTTAGTAGTTTGAATGGTTTACCTTTTCAGTGATGGTTACCTGCCATATGTTGGGTCTCATGGTTGATGTTAGATATACTGCATCTAATTTTATCCTTACAATTGATGATTACCTACCATATGCTAGATTCCATGGTTGATGTTAGATATACTGTGTCTAATTGCATTCTCACAGGAATTCTTTAAGACAGAAGTCCTTATCCTCATTTTGCAAGTAAGAAAATGATTCAGAGATATTAAGCAACATATCTAAGACTATAGTGTTTTTAAAAAAGATGATTTAAATCCAGGTGCTAGATATTTTCTTTCTACCAAGTGTCTTATTTCTTCATTTAGCTCATTTACCATCCATACTTAAGACCTCTTCTAACTTTACTTTCATCAACATTTATGCCTTCTCAAAGCCACAAAATATAATAGACTCTATGTTAGCTATGGGGTGTCACATTTAAGGGACTAAGATATACAATATTTCATGATTTTTTGGCTATTTATACATTATAGAGCAAAGTGATTCTATTGGCTTACTTTATTTAACATCTGTTTCTTTAATTGGTCAATAGTGTGCATCATGTTGGTCAGAGAGAGAGTAAATGACTGGAGTAAGAAGTCACTAAAAAGTCAAAATTGGTCATATGTAAATGAATGGCTGATAGTTGAGGGACATTGATTTTTCAGACTAATTTCTTTAGTTCTAGAAGTAGTTTTCTAATCCAAACAGGACACTTTGAGAGTGGAAGGATTTGTGGCTAACAGTTCCACAGAACAGCTGTTATACAGTCTCTGCAGTGGGACAGTAGATGTTCCATGTCTAGATACAATAATGCATTTCTTTACTTGAAAGGGGGGCAACTTTTGTGGTTTGCTCTAAATTCCTAGGTCAAAGGACTAGGTTTAGTGTGACCTAGGATGACATCTAATTAACTGACAGCCTACATTCTCACAATTTGTGTTACAGAATTTAAGGAAACTAGCCAATATTTCCTCATAAGAAGTTCAATGATAATCTTTTTGTTTCATTTTGCTTTTTTTTAAAGATTTATTTATTTATTTTGTGTCTAAGTGATCTAGCTGCATATACACCTTTATGCCAGAAGAGAGCATCAGACCCCACTGTAGATGGTTGTGAGCCACCATGTCGTTGCTGGGGTTTGAACTCAGGACCTCTGGAAGAGCAGCCATTGCTCTTAATCGCTGAGCCATCTCTCCAGCCCCTAATGATAAGTTTTATAACTTGTTTAATTTTTTTTAACTAGAAAATTTCTGGTAAATTTCTGCATATAAAGCGGTATTTCCTAGCATACATGGAAAGCTTCTGTTTGGCTAAAACATTATTTAGATCTCCCACAAGAAGACAAGATAGTTTTCTTTAAGACATTTCATGATATTTCTCTTCATTTTTCTGATTGACTTTGGCTTCTCTTCCCACCTCCAGTTTCATGACTTTGCTGACCGGAAGGACTGGGATGCATTCCACCCCACACTTGTAGCAGAAGGGCTTTTTGCATTTGCTAACGTTCTGAGTTACCTCCGACTCTTTTTTATGTATACAACCAGCTCGATATTGGGTCCACTGCAGGTAAATAAAGGTCTTAAGGAACGTTTGTTACATGCCACGACTATTGCATCTGCTTATCCACTTCAACACTGTTCTCATGGTGTTAAAACTACATTTGGCATCTGAAAATGATTATCAAGTACTTTGCTTCTGGCTCATTGATAATTTTCTTTCAAAAATTGTAAACTTTTCAAGCTGTAGTCCATTGGCCTCCTCCCTTCATTCTCTGGCCATAGATATCCTTAAAACAATTGTTATGCGACTGGGCAGTGGTGGCGCATGCCTTTAATCCCAGCACACAGGAGGCAGAGCCAGGTGGATCTCTGTGAGTTCGAGGCCAGCCTGGTCTATAGAGCAAGATCCAGGACAGGCACCAAAACTACACAGAGAAACCCTGTCTTGAAAAAATGAAAAAAACGAAACAATTGTGCTTCATAGAAAGGAGTAATAAAAAAATCTGATTTTTACCAAAATAAAGTTTATATTTAAACTTTGAAAGATAGTTGGCTTTTAATAAAAATACTATCTACATGATTTTAACACATAGAGATATACATGTGAAATGAATGACAATAGGAACATAAAGACCCTCTGGGAGAAATGGAAATACACTGTTGTATGGCTTTCAACTATATACAAAGTAGTATGCTATCACTTGAAATTAGGCTGTGATAAGATAGGTGTCATAAGCCCTAAGGCAGTCTATGAAATAAAGCAGTTATAGTTAATAAACCAACAAAGGACATAAAATGGCATTTTAAATTACCAAAAATAAAACAGTAAAAGAGGGAAGAGGAAGAGATCCCAGATGGATTAAAGAGGAAGAAATAGCATCATATATGGAAACAGTTCAGATACCACCACAATCCTCCGCTAACTCACAGTCAGTTCTGTCACAACTGTACCCCATGACCTGGTACCAACTTCTGGCTCAGTTAGGGTTTTTTGTTTTTCCTCTGATAAGACACCATGACCTAAAGGAACTTGGGAAAGGGCTTATTTAAGCTTAAAGTCCTACATCAAGGTTCATCATTGCAGGAAGTCAACAGGAAGTCAAGGCAGAGACTTTGAAGTGGAAACTGGAACAGAAGCCATTGAGGAATACTGGTACCTGGCTTGCTCTTCATGGCTTGCTCAGTCTTGATGTTTTTCTGTCAGCTTGGTGGCTGCACATGAATCTACTGATACTTTAATTATTGTCTGCTGCCCCATGGCCCCTCAGTCACAGCCCCACCAGCCACTTAGGCCGAGGCCTAGTGGGGCCATGATATGTGGGTTTAAATTAAGTCTCTATTGTTCTATTTTTCAATAAGACTTAGAAGTCAAAGGCTGGGGTGAAAACCTGCTAGCTCAGAGAGGCTGAGTAGCAACTAACTGACCTTACTCTTTGGTCAGAGACACAGCAAGAGACACATCTTTTCCTTTGTCCCAGAACTAAGAGCTCCATCTCTAATCCCTGCTCTTTCATGCCTATGTGCCTTCTCTATCCAAATTGCTGCCTTCTCTAGGGCCAATTCCAGTCAGCTGGTCACTGACTCTGCCCCCTGATTCAAGGTATAGCTTTATTGGGCAGTCTCAGGAGTGTCAGAGTGTGATCAAAATATCCCACAACACAGCCTGCTTTCTTATAGCATCCAGGACCACCAGCCCAAGGGTGGTACCACCCACAGTGAGCTGGACCTTTCTACATCAATTCTGAATTAAGAAAATGCCCTTGCCGGGCGGTGGTGGCGCACGCCTTTAATCCCAGCACTTGGGAGGCAGAGCCAGGCGGATCTCTGTGAGTTCGAGGCCATCCTGGTCTCCAAAGCGAGTTCCAGGAAAGGCGCAAAGCTACACAGAGAAACCCTGTCTCGAAAAAACCAAAAAAAAAAAAAAAAAAAAAAAAAAGAAAATGCCCCACAGGCCAATTTGGTGGGAGCATTTCCTCAGCTGAGTTTCCTTCATCCCAAATGACTCTATCTTGTGTCAACTTGACATAAAACTAGCCCAGTACAATGCTGAACATGTAATTTTTATTCTAAGACTTTATAGTTTCAAGCCTTATTTTTAATTATCTTTTCTACTTTGAGTTGATTGTGCGTGTGTGTGTGTATGTGTGGTGTAAGATTTGTATGCTGTAAGATAAATGTTCGATTTTACTGTTTTCCATGTGGATAATATGGTCATTTTCCCCCCACCATCATTTGTTGAAGAGACTACTGTTTCCTCATTGTGTTTTCCTGGTACTGTTGTTGAAGAGAAGTTAAGTTTATTTATTTTTACATTTATTTCCAAGGTCTTTATTTTGTCCCATTGGTCTATACATCAGTCTTTACTATAGTTCGATACCATTTAAATTACTGTTGTTTTATAATATATGTTGAAATTGGGGACTGTGTTATCTTTAGCTTTGTTCTCAAGATTGTCTTTTTTGAGGTCGTGCAAATTTTATAATTTCTGTGTGTTTATATAAGCATATTATTGGGGTTTTGATTTTGTCTCGACTCTAAATATTTTGGTAATGTGGAAATTTTAAGAGTTAACTTACAATTGTGAACATCTGCTGTGTCTTCTTCTGTCTCTTTGTCAGTGTTCTAGAGTTTTCAGTGTGTAGGTCTTCTACTTCAGGGTTAGGTCCATCCTGCCTCATTCTTTTTCATGTTGTTATAGAGGATTTGCTCTCATAATATTTGACCCTTTTCAGATGGTTGTGTAACTCGTATATAGAAATGCAACTGTTGCCTGTTCATCTTGCTTGATGGAATGTTTCCAGATTAATTTCTAGTTCTCAGTTCTAACAGTTATGGGGTGTTTGTCACTCTCTCTCCACAAAGGATCATTTCATATTCAAAGGGGACAGTTTCACCTTTTCCAGTGTGGATACCTTCCCCTCCTTGTTTAATTGTTTTTAGTGCAGTTTTCAGTACTGTGTAGACAGATACATAAAGAGAAGTCCTTGACTGATCCTGATATCAATAAAAATGTGTGTTTTTCACTACTGGTTTTGTTAGCTATGGGCTTTCATATATGGCACATATTGTGTTCAGGTAATTTCCTTCTGTTTTTGTTGAAAATGGATTTTTTTTTTTCGGTCTTAAAAAGGGAATTGAAATTCATTGTATGCTTTTTCTAGGTTTATTGATCCAATTATGTAACTGTTATCTTCTTTCATTCATTTGATGATATAGCCACTAAATTATTTTTTCTTGTATCCCAAAGATAAATCCTAATTTCGAAGTGAATGTGCTTTTTTCATGCACTATTGAGTTTGGTTTGATAGTGTTTGTGTAAAGACTTTTTTCCTTTTACAATTTTTATTACATTTATTTATTTATTTTGGTGTGTGCATACTGTCTTAGTCAGTGTTCTGTTGTTGTAAAGCAACACCATGACCAAGGCAACACTTATAAAAGAAAACATTTAATGAAGGGCTGGCTTACAGTTTCAGAGGGTTAGTCCGTTATCATCATGGGGGGGAGCATGGTAGCACACAGGCAGACATGACCCTGGAGCTTTACATCTTGATCCACAGGGAGCAGAGACAGGGAGGGGCAGGAGGGCAAGGGCTGTGGGGAGGTGGAGAGGGAGACAGAGGAGACACAGAGAGACAGAGACTGGGCCTGACATGGGCTTTTGAAGGCTCAAAGCTCACTCCCAGTGATAGACCTCCAACAAGAACACACCTTCTACTCTTTTCAAACAGTTGCACTCCATGGTGGCTAAGCATTCAAATATATGAGCCTATGGGGGCTATTTTTATTCAAATCACCACATATATGCATGTGCCCATGGCATGTAAATCGTACAGACCAAGCTCAAGTTGTCAGAATGGGCAAGTGCCTTTATCTGCTAAGCCATCTCACTGGCCCTTATTTTGGTAAAGATTTTTGTATGTATATTGCAGGGATGTTTAAGCCTATAGCACTCTTTTGTTATAGTCATTGTCTGCTGTTGGCATCAGGGTGATATAAATGATATTTTTGTCATCGGCCTCATAAAATGAGTTGAAAATGTTTTCCAAATACTTCAAGATGGATTTGCATTAAGTTTTAAAAAACATTTCATAGAGTTTTTCACTGAAGTCATCTGATCCTTGTTAAGAGATTGTTATTATTGATTCAATTTTTTTATAACTTAGAGATCTGTCCAGACTTTCTATATCTTCATGACTTATTCTTGCTAGGTTGTATAGTTCAAGGAGTCTGTTCGTCTACTTGGACTACCCAATTTGTTGTTCATAATAGTGTCCTCTGATCTCCCACCTTACTCTCTCTCTGTCGTGTCTCTTACTCTTTGTCTCTGTCTCTTTCTTGCCTATCTCCTTCCTTTTTTCAGTTTAAAATTGTGTGTGTGTGTGTGTATGTGTGTGTGTGTGTGTGTGTGTGTGTGTGTGTGTGTGTGTGTGTGTGTGTGTTCATTTGCATGTGCACATATGTATGGAGGCCTGAGGTTGGTTTCCGGTGTCCCGCTTGATTGCTCTCCACCTTACCTTGTACAGCAGGGTTTCTCAGTGACGTTGGCACTCATTGATTGCCCGTGTTGTGTGGCCACTGAGCTCTGGGATCTGTCCACCTCCTCTTCCTTCCTTGTAAATGACTACGCCTGGCATTTTTACACGGGCCCTGGGGGTCCCATCTCGGATCCTCGTGCCTGTGTAGGAGGCACTTACTGATGACCCATGTCCCCAGCCCTCTTTTCTCTCTCAGGGGTTTTTACTGTTCCCCAGACTTGGGAGTCCCTGGGCTCTTCAGATCCTATTTCCTCAGCCTCTAGTGCTGGACAGCAGATGGGCTCTAGCACAAGCTTCATTTCCAGGATTCTCACAGCCAAGACTGGTTTTCCTCGGTCTGCACTAGTATTAATTCCTTTGTAAACTTCAGTATTGATGGTTTAGTTCTCTTTTCATTTCTTTACACTTGATTTATGTGATATTATCATATTACAAATGCATAGTGCTTATGATCTTTCCATCCACAAGAAGTTTGTTTTTGCTGCTGACCTGTCACACGCATGTTTAGTATTCCAGCCAGTACCCTCTACTGTGATATCCACCTGTCTATTTTTAGTTTTGTATTATGTAAGAACTGATGTCAGTTCCTGGTGTTCTCCTTCTGTATTAACTCACCCTGATATTCAAATTGGTTACACCTTTTTTTTAGTTTAGTTGTATTAAATTTTTTTTTTGAAAATTAAGATTATATCACTATAAGTGGGTACTTTCAAAAACTCTATTTATAGATGAGTGAATAGTGCCAGAACTTTCTTCAAAGGTCATTTTTCCTAAAGTTGTCAAAAGCACTTGCTTTATTACTGCCTTAGCACATTCCCTGCTGACTTAGGTATGGATATATTCTGAATATTCATAGTCTGAATGAATGGCTTTGTTTTCCTAAGTGACCCACTAAGATACCGCTAGTACATTAAGAGGGAAAATACATCTCTTTCTCACGTATTTTGAGGCCAGCTTGGTCTGTCTATAGAGCAAGTTCCAGGATAGCTAGGGCTACATAGAGAAACTCTGTCTCAAAAAACAAACAAACAAACAAACAAACAGAAAACCCACAAGTGTTCCAATATTTTTCTTTTAAAAAAAATCAAGATTTATTGAAACTATGTAATCTGGGCTGGGCAGTGGTGGCGCACGCCTTTAATCCCAGCACTTGGGAGACAGAGGCAGGTGGATCCTCTGTGAGTTCGAGGCCAGCCTGGTATGGAACTACAGAGTGAGTTCCAGGAAAGGCGCCAAAGCTACACAGAGAAACCCTGTCTCAAACAACAACAACAACAACAACAACAACAACAAAAAAAAAAACCAACTATGTAATCTTCAGACATTGGAGGAGTATGAAAGAAAATAAAATTAGGCTTGAATAAAACTTCTCATTGCCCCATGCTAACGCATAAAGATAGTCATTATTAATTCTTGCTACTAGAGTGGCTTGCACACATAATACTGTCTTATAAAAGTGAGGGAAGGATGTTCACTCTTGGGAAGAAATTAGCATAGTCCCAGATGCTGATACTGCTCTTCAGGAGTTAGTTGAGAATTAGTTACAAAATCAGATAAAATGCTTCATTTTGAAATGATTTAATATTTGTAAACTTTAAGAAGTCACATAAATATAAGCATTTATTTTCCCTTAGGATTTTCAGAGAGTTCTTTCTTTTATCCCTGCCAACTGGCCTTTAAACAATCTCCATATTGTCAGCAATATGGAGTGATACTTGCATGATCCTAGTGTGTGGGAAGCTGAGGCAGGAGGATTGTGAGTCCTATGGCAAGATTGAACATGGGGTAGTTTGTGTCTCAGCAACAACCAAAATAATTATAATAAATACTAAAAGTAGGTGAAAATCTCCATGTATCTGTTCTCCCTACACAGCAATAATAACCTTTTAAGATCTTGTCTGGCAAGGACTGTGCATCTAACACTCACAGTGCTGGTTTGGTTAGAATGGCCTTTTTTAGTAGATAACTGGGTTTGTTGGTTTTGTTTTTTGTTTACCTACAGCTGGCGTTTTGATGTTCTTAACATACTGAAATATGTCAGCCAGGTGAAATAATGAGCATGACTTGTGGCTTGTGTGTTAGCTTTCCTTTTATTGCTGGGTAATTTCATATTTAATATGTAGTTTTTCCAACAGTCTTAATGTATACTGTGTGTATGTCCACAGATTTCCATGGGACAGATGTTACAGGATTTTGGGAAGTTTCTGGGGATGTTCCTTCTTGTTCTGTTCTCCTTCACAATTGGACTGACCCAACTCTATGACAAGGGCTACACCCCCAAAGAGCAGAAGGACTGTGTTGGCATCTTCTGTGAGCAACAAAGCAATGACACCTTCCACTCGTGAGTCTCCTCAGAGTTTACTAGATGAACTTTCTGCTCCTAAGTTCTGTAGGGGTTAGTCATTACATGAATGGAGCTCCAATTGTTCTTTTAAAAAAATCTTCTTTAAATGTCTGCAAGCTTTAACAAATGTTCATTTTTCATCATCTTTACCTAAAGGATCTTCAGTAGTAGATCCAAGACATTACATGTTTCTTCTCTACTGAAATATGTCTGAATAGAACTCTTGACAAATTCACACTCTTAGCACTTTGGAAAACTCTTTTATCCATCCCATATATTAGAATGTTCAGCATCTCTGCCTCCAAACTATTAAATACCTGTAGCAACTGTTGGTTGCTGGTACAACCCAGAGCACTCATGTTTTCAACACTTCTCGAGAGGTCACTAGAGTTGAGAATCATTAGAACTTAAGGGCCAGTCCCGCAGTGGATCATAAAGAATGGTACCAACACTATAAAGCAGACAGAGTACCTGCCCTCAGGTTCCTTTTCCAGTGCTGTGGATCTAAGCCAGGGCTCTGTGTGTGCTAAGCAAGTGCTAACCACCAAAGCTACATCCCCAGTCTTACTCTCCTCATTCTTAAATAAAATACAGAGGAGTATGTACTGCACATTTTTTGTGTTCATATGATGTGCCACAATTCTTTAGGTACTTTGTGTGGCCTCTCATTTAAAGACGAAGATTTCTGGGCAGACCAGGATAAATGGATAAAGGGATGAGCATGTAGGACCGTGCTGCCTGACTTGGGGCTATTGCAATTTAGAATTATCTAAAGGTTGAAGCAAAGGACTGACACAATGTAACTAGATACCCCGTGGACTGCTGTGTTGAGACTAGAAAGGACGCAAAAAAAATTAACTAGGAATAATATTTTTGAATGTGTTTCCTCATTTAAAATAAGACTTTAGGGTCTGGAAAGATGACTCTGTGGTTAAGAGCACTCACTGTTCTTGCAGAGGACCTAGGTTTGGTTTCCAGCACCCACCTGATGGCTCACAACTGAAACTCCAGTTCCAGGGGATCTGGTGCCCTCTTCTGACCTCTGTGGCCTCCTGCATGCATGTGATGCACATGCATAAACTCATACACACACACATAAAACAAAAATAACATTTAAAATATGACTGTATGTACTGTGAAAATAAAAATCAAACAATAAAATTATTTTTATATTTTGATATAAGAATATTTTGTATTTTGTATAAATACAAAATTATAATTATGTATTATACAAGAATTATTAATGGCTCTTATGTATAACTTTTATATAAATGCATTATCTCTGTTCTTGCTAATTAATTTCCTTTTTAACCACAGTGTACTTGCCCTTCCAGGTTCATTGGTACCTGCTTTGCTCTGTTCTGGTACATCTTCTCCTTAGCACACGTGGCCATCTTTGTCACAAGGTTTAGCTATGGAGAAGAGCTGCAGTCCTTTGTTGGAGCCGTGATTGTTGGAACTTACAACGTTGTGGTTGTTATCGTGCTTACGAAGCTGCTGGTGGCCATGCTTCACAAAAGCTTTCAGTTGATAGCAGTAAGTGTTCTTTCAAAGCCTTATATTCTCTCCAAATCATATGAGATATATGAAATCAAATAACTGAAGATTACAGAATTAAGGAATAATATTTTTAAATTAAATATAGATTTTAAAATATAATGTCTAATAATTGCACATCTTTGACCAGTTTTTTAATATGTAAGGTGTGGTGATGTTTAGACAGTTTTAATCAATATCTCCCCAAACCTGCCAGTATGCATTCATGTTTGTGTGAGTGTTCTTCTATCCTGGTTTTTCCTTGCCTCACAGAATCATGAGGATAAAGAGTGGAAGTTTGCTCGGGCAAAGCTATGGCTTAGCTACTTTGATGACAAATGTACCCTGCCCCCACCTTTCAACATTATTCCTTCACCGAAGACTATCTGCTACATGATCAGTAGCCTCAGTAAGTGGGTTTGCTCTCACACATCGAAAGGCAAGGTCAAACGGCAGAACAGTTTAAAGGTGAGAAATTAGAGGTTTGAACTGCACCACCATTTTGCAGTTGCTAATTGCACTTTTAGTTTTTCTTTGTTTTGTTTTTTTGAGATGGAGTCTTACTGACTATATAGACGTAGCTGCCATGGAATTTGCTATGGAGACCAGGCTGGCTTCAGTTTGCAGCAGTCCTCCTCTGTCTGCCTACCATGGGCTGGGAAGATGAGTGTGTGGCACCATGCCTAGCTCAGATGTTTGTTGCAGGATATTTGATCACACTGTGACCCTGAGAGATTGCATTTGCTGGAAAAACCTGTTTCAAGTTGTGGTGTGCCTCAGCCCTGGCACATACCTTAATTCCAAGAGCTTTCTGCTTGAATATTGTAAATAGGATTAAATAAAGTTAACCATAGGCCAAGAGGCAGAGCAAGCAACCAGTTGACAGGAAATGAACATAGGATGATTAAGAAAAAACCATAGAGAGTAAGAGGGAATCAGGAGGATTCCCTGGATAGAGAAAAACACAGGAAGTAGAAGGGAGGGTCGTTCTGTTTGAGAAGTCGTGTTTGAGACAGTGTAGGAGAAGGTGGGAGGCTTCTGGCATGTCAGCTGAGGAGGAAGGTCATCTGGGTGCTTTCCCTGCCTCTCTGAGCTAGCAGGGTTTCACCCCAGCATCTGGCTTCTGAGTCTTCTTTGGTAAAATCAAATGATTGAGATTTTGTTAAAAACAGCAGATGTTTCTTAAAGCACAAATATGAAGGTTTGATAAGGACTATCCTGAGGTGTTTTCTACTGTATCCCTAACGCATGCTCTAGTATCTAATATAAAAATTCAGTGAATAATTGAGAATAAGAAATAAAGCTAAGGATTTTAAGGTTGGTTTTGGTTCTTTTCTTAGTTTTCAAATTTCCCTAACACATGAACTCTTTTTTTTTTTGGTTTTTTGAGACAGGGTTTCTCATAGTCATTCATTATAGATTTAAAGAACAACAATTAGTTCATAGCATTTTTAGGACTTGAAAGTTACTCAGTATATTTCTTATTCGGTGCATGTTACTTATAAACCAAGGATTGGTAAGTTTCCTAAAAGACCAGACAGTAAATATTTTATACTTTGAAAGCCAAACAAAACAAAAAACACCATCTAAGAAGTTATATAAAAGAAAAAATTTCCAAAAAACTTACAGATGAAATTAAAAATATAACAATAAGTAACAGTCACTGTAATAAGTTACTAGGAAAAACAGAATTCCCTGTGGTAGGATTAAAATTTTGCTTAATTAGAGTTAAAAATCAAGTTGTCCATTATAAAATTGATTACAGATATCTATCTGTAAAACCGTTCTTAGCTCACAAGACAAGAAAGACAGAAAGTGGGCTTGGGGTGGTAGTTTATGAATCTCTGTTGTAAACTGGGCATTACTAAATTTTTTCAATGAAATTGACCTAAAGGAGAGTGAATGAAACAGATACATAGGCTATATTATTAAACATGTACTGACTATGATTTTTACCAAAGTAAACTGTCCTCTAAATGCGTTGAAAGTGTCTATTTGTGAGTATATTTAAAATTTACCTCATTTAAATACTGTCTCTGGGGCTAGAGAATGCCTTGATGGTAGACATTTGCCTAGCATGCATGTGGCCCTCAGCTTACTCCTCAGTACTGCAAATCCATATGTATATATGAGTGTGTATACATGTTTTCTTACACATACATTGTTCTGCTGTCGTTCTTACCATGGGACTGCTTGCTTTGAAGGAGTGGAGAAACTTGAAACAAAAGAGAGACGAGAACTACCAGAAGGTGATGTGCTGCCTGGTGCATCGGTACCTGACGTCTATGCGACAGAAGATGCAGAGCACAGACCAGGCAACCGTGGAGAATCTCAATGAACTGCGCCAAGATCTGTCGAAATTCCGAAATGAAATAAGGGATTTGCTTGGCTTTCGGACTTCTAAATATGCTATGTTTTATCCAAGAAATTAATCATTTTCTAAATCTTGT